AACATCATCAATCCCTTACCATCGACAACACTCTGATTCCGATGACTCAGAATCTTCCTCATATCCTCGCTCGACGACGAAGTCCTCCTTCCAATATTCTCACACGTGTCATGCATTCCACGTGGCTGCATCGCCTTGTACGAGCTGCTACTGCAGTAAAATGCCGGAGTTATCATCACCTGATCTTGGTTGTTGCTCCGGTGTCCGTATACTTCTTTCCGGTGGAAACTCCGGTGGCAATTGCATGCGGCGCATTTTAGCGACCCTAGCGTACCTTCTTCTCCTCCGGCCATGAACTCGCAGCATCCGTCCACCACGTGTCCTCCGGTTAACGCCGCGTGGTTCTTCTGGCATTCTCGGTACTTTGATGCTTGGTCGCCACGTGTCGTCGGTTTTTGGGTTTCTTTCTTGACCGGAAATGGATCTGATTCGGGTTTGGCTTCTAGATCCGGGTTGGTATGTGGTTTAATTACTTCTATGGTTTTGGTTGATATCACTGTTGTTGTGGAAGTAACTGCATTGCCTTTTCCTCCGAGCTCCATTGTAAATCTCACCCTAAAGAACAAAACAATAATGCTTGCAAATATAAAAAAAAGTCTGCAGCTTTAATAGTTAGAGATTTTTGGACTCACCGGTAGGGATTATAGAGCTTCTTGTTATCGGAAGATTAGTGCAAGATGAGATTGATATTGAAGATAAAGAAAAAGAAGTGGTTATGATGTGTGTGGGTTTGTTTCCTATCACCCATCAAGTTTATTTTCACATGAAGATCCAACAAAGTATTGATTTTAAAAACATAAACCTACTAGAGAGAGGAGAGAGAGTGTGGGTGTGTGTGTGGTGGTGCCTCTTAATTTCGAGACAATGTCATATGTTTGTTATCTCTCACCACCTGCAAATTTGGTCCATCTCTCATTATTGCAATTTATCTCTTTCTCTATTTTCCTTTATGATAATGGTGTCACTAATTAATGTGTGTCTGCAAAAGAAAACCATAGCTTAGTCAAACTATTACCTACTAGTAAAGACTTTAGGGGTGCGGAGAGAGATAGACAAGAAGCTTATGAATTAGTTTATGTGTTATTTAGTTATGAATTTACCATATCATTATAAAAAAAAAGTTGTAAAAAAATATAGACTTAAATGTACTATTAGAGAATATACTAGTATATAGTATATACTTAGAGCTTGATTGGTTCATACGCTACCACATGCAAACGCTGTAGCGGTTGTTGGTGTTTGACAACAATGGAAACGTTTTATATCACTCCGTGTCGTTTCAAACTTCTCAAAATCAAAAGTTCTTTTCTCGA